GATAAATCTGGAATCAGATGTTCGACAAGCACGTGGATGTGATGGTCAGAGTTCCACACGTTTGGCCGTAAAGTGTAAGTGACCTGTTGGTATGTGAGAGACTTCTGTCCAAGACACTTATAACAATTTAAAAAAAACAGCAGTTTTCCTGTATCATGTGCTTCCCCCTCAATTTTCTTTTCAGTTCACTTAATTCACATCTAATCCACCTTTTCTGTAATCTGTCTCTAGATTTTGGCATTTTCTTGTGCTGCTAAATATTATTATTAGAATAGACATGAGACAAAATAACATCTACCAGTGAGAAATTCCTTTTCTCCTGCCCTTTATTCATCATTTCCTACTTCCAGTTCTCAGTGAGCTTTACCTTTTATGGAGTTTTTTTCTTAACTCTTCTGGCTTTCCATGAATAAGAGTTCAACCTAAAAAATGTCTGTAAAATGCTCAGAAGTCTTACACTGTGTTACAGACGTATTAAAATACAAATGACCAATGAAGAATTGATGAGACAATTTGGTGTCTGATGCCTTTTTTTTTTGTTTTTTTTAATAAGTTCCAACTGAAAAGATGTTTGTGATGACTTCCACAGTTAAGCTGTTGCTTATCTTGAAATTTCTCTAGACGAAGATTACTGTGAATTTGGTCAGTGTGACAGACAACAGGCTTGATGGAGAAGTCTGAATAGCTGAGAGCTCACACTTAATATAGTCATTAAAAATATGCAATTCAGAATTAAGTAAGACCACTGGACCCAACATATTTTAAGATAAAAGCATATTTATTTCAATGATTTCAAACATTCTACAGTGAAGCTGTAAGAAATGTTTGGGGAACAAAATTAAAAAGGCAACTTTTTTAAATGCTTTGCAGTTTATTTCTCGATACAACATTCCCCAGCCTAACAAACAGTGATATTTTGTTATCACAAAACAACATTTGGATTATGGATATCAAAATCCGTTAAGGCTTTATTAAGTATTTTGTCAAGGGCACTTCTAGGCATGTGTATGGGTCCTACATCCCTAAATAGAAACTCAAACCGAGGTATTTGGATGAAAACAAACTCTACCCACACACCCTGTGTTGGTAAATGAAGAGTAAAATCTTATAGTATTCCAGCATTATGTCAGGATGCTGGGGATGTTTTCTTTCCCTGGATGGAAAAAGACAAGATCAATCTTTACAAACCTGGTAATTAGATTGAAACCTCTACCAGAGCCCCGTTAGCCAGCACGGTTAGCAGGATGTGTTGTGCTGTTACCACCTCCTACGACATGGACGTGGGGTTGGATTTTAGGAGGCAAAAACTGGAAAAAAGCAAAAACATCAATTGTATACAACAACAACCCCCCATTTTCTCCCCAGTTTGGTCTTGGCCAATTCCCACCCACTAGCTAAGTCTTCCCAATCACAGGAAAACCTCCAACCGGACAGGATGCAGGCTAACATGCAAAGTGATGCGTCAAGTATGAACTAGCTTTAACACACTCAGAGGAGAGCTTTATCTGTTATCTTCTTCCTGTATGAGCTCACAGACACCCACAGTTGGCTGTTGTCTCTGTGACTGACAGGCGAGAGAGAGTAATATCATCCCTCCCACTCAGAGAGCATCATCAATTCTGCTCTCCTCACTTCCGGCCAAGGGGGCTGTGGCATCACCGGGATTCAAACTTGCGATCCCCAGCGACAGGACAAATGCGTTTCTGGAGCTTATTTGTATGTTCTTAGCTGAATTGCAAAAACAGAACAGAAAAACAGAATGTATAAACTGAACATTTCAAAATATGTCATATTTTCATCATCTTGTATTTCATTTTTGTTTCATTTTTTATTTTCACCATATTAAATGATGTACAGAACCTTTGTTGGTGATCTTATTTTTTCTGCTTCTTTGACTTTCATTGACTCCATAATAGTGTTTTCACCAAAATAGATGAATAATATAGACACAGTGGTAAACATTTCACTTGTACATTTTAATGGAATTTTACAGGAGGTCGGGTTTCCCATGGAGTTGTTTCTCCAACTTCTCCACTGAGCACTGGAGTGTTTTTACCTGGTCCTTCAGGACGGAGTTCTCGTGCTCCAGAGTATTCTGAGTGCATGACATTGATAGGAGATAAATGCATACAGACACCACAAATTACTAACATTAGTACTTTGTCTCAAAGCCATTGTTAGCATTTACAGCGTCGAGACATATACAGTAAGAACCAATAAGCTTTCTGTAGGACTGTGGTTCAGTTTTATCAAATTCCTCTTATCAATTTATCTTCAATTCATTACATTTTCAATGGGATTCAAGTCAGTAGATTGGCTAAGCCTTCTTGAGTTATTTTGGCTATGTTTGTGGTCATTGTTTTGTGACACATCCTCCCCAGATTCAGTTACTTGGCCGATGAGATTAAATTCTCCTCTAATATGTCCCGACATATCACTCCATTCATGTTTACATTACAGGTGAAAAGTACAGATTAATGCAAGACTTTTCTCACTTACCTTCAATAACTTGACACGTGTCTTGTGAGTCTCACAGAGTTGTCCCTCCAACTTCTCCACTGAGCCTTGCAGTGTTTTTATGTGCTCCATCAGGATGGAGTTCTCGTACTCCAGCTGAGCATTGGACTCTAGTGCAATCTTCACTCTCTCCTCAGCTTCAGCCAGAGAG